TGTATATAACGATGATAATGCCTACCAAATGATAGTTTCAATACCGCTTAACTTGCGCTGTTGATTTTCGAATTTTTTTCAATTATTGTTTTACTTTGATATATTTGGCTTGAATATTTGTCTTTGATTCGATCGTCATTTGCTATAATTCTTTGGACCTTCGTTTTCATCGGGTACATGACATTTTGGCCGTGACTATAGGGCTTCGGTATGATTTTAGCTAGAGTCCCAAAATCTCCCGGTAACCTCATTCACTCGCAACCTCCATCTTCTTTTTCTTGAATAGACTCCTAGCATGTCTTCTCCTGTAGGATCTCAAGGAAAATACCAGGTCACATCGATCAACGCTACTCCAGGTACGTCCAGTTGGCTTACTCCGTTCTGCTCCATCATTAAAACAACACGATTTGATTTCTGATTGTGAGGTAATAATAATTTAGTAAAATGTAAAACGGCCGATAAACAATTCAAAGTGAAAGAGACTGAAAATGAGTAGAAAAGAGACGAAAAGCGTGTTTTGTAGTTTGATGAGTTTTTATATACTGCCTATTCCGAAATCATGACGTAAGACATAACTTGTAATAACGCAATCCGGTCATTTTTTCACTGTACATTTTTCTGTTTTGAAGTCATTTAGAGAGACCTGGAAAGTGTCTTTTTAGAATGGATTCTTTTTTTTCTTGGATTTCATGAAACTGAATATTATCAATTTGTTATTATACATTCACCTCTGGAGCCTGCCCTTGTAGATTTCTTTATAACTCGATAATCGAGGCGGCCTCTGAGTAAACATTATTAATGCTGAACGTTTATCTAGCTGGTGAGTGCAGCAAGATGGTTAACGAGGCCAGCAATGGTAAGGGAGGCGGGGCCCAACATCAACAACTTCAGCAATCTCAACAACTCGACCCAACGATGTGTCTCGAACTAGCCCTTGAAGGCGAGCGACTTTGCAAAAGCGGTGACTTTACCGCTGGAGTGGCTTTCCTTGAAGTAAGTCTGTTTTTGCTTCCCGGTTTTTTTATATATTTGTTTAACTTGGACGATGACAACGTATCATCTTAATTTCAAATACGATCTAATTTACGGCGCTATTACTCTCTATTAATCATTACGGATAAATGCTTAACCTCAGAGTCTATTATTGTTTTGTATTTGTAATATTATATAAATACAATTGTGATTTTATTTAGAAACAAAAATCAATTGGTGTAAATAAAGCAGCGACTATAATCATACGATCTGTAAAAATGTCTTTCCATCAGAACATGTAATTCCGTGCAGTTTACCTTCGCTCGTACATTTCTAACCTTAACTATGCTTTTTCTATTCGTTGTAAAGGCTGCTGTCAGGCTGGGCACGGATGATGCAAGAGTGTTGAGCGCCATCTATTCACAACTGGGGAACGCTTATTTCTACCTGTCGGACTACGAGAGAGCATTACGGTTCCACGAACTTGACCTTAAAATTGTCCAGTGCGTGAGAAGTCATTATCGTATTTGTATGTATAGATAGCTGCGGTTTCTGCAATTCTAAATTTGATGCACGTTGGTCAGACAGGTAACGGGCGTATCTATTCGGGCATTTTGGTTGACTTTTTCCTCTAACGTTTTTTCCTATTATTGTTATTGTACTTTATATAGAACACAACGAGATGCGCTGGGTGAGGCAAAAGCCAGTGGCAACCTAGGCAATACACTCAAGATGCTCGGAAGGTTTGACGAGGCCACCCTGTTCTGTGAACGTCATTTGATCATCTCCCGAAAAGAAGGCGATAAGGTAGTACTAACGATATTGATAGATACCCCCTGTATAGCTCGTAACGCTAACGTGTTGGTTTGCCTTAATCAGTTATCAAATCGAATATATTTAGTAACAAGTGCTCATTTAATAATTAATTTTCCTCTGAGCTCCACTATATTCACCATACTATTGGAGTAACTATATATTATTTTGGCTCCAGCTTTGCATTTTGTCCGTCTAACATAGTTTCCTAACAAGATATTACTTGCACTGGGTAGAACTGACATGCGGGATGTTCTTTTTGTCTGCTTCTTCAATCATCGCTTGCGATGACAGCCTTCGTATAATTGATGACTAGCAGATTTCTGAAAAGTCATTAAACACCAAATTAGCTTTAAAATAATGCACTGCATTAATACTACTGATATTGCATAACAGCCTGTTAGGACTTCGGACAGTGAGCCCTTCCAAATTTAGTTGCACCAGTAAATATACTGTGTCGTATAACTTAGTCCGTATTTATTTGACATATCTGACCACAAGAAATCTTCATGACCACTTTTGGCTTGAAGTGCCTTCCAACTTCCAACTTTAAGGCCTCTTTGGGGTACTACGAGATCCATGAGGCGTACGCACTTAACGTCGTAGCCATGCGACATTTAAAAATGTGTTCTTTCACATTTGTTTTATGATATTTTTTGTAGAAATGCTTTGCAAGGAAGTCTAAATCGGAATATGCCATCTGAGCGAATCTGGCTTATAATACCGATTTCGCTAGCACTTGAGTTACCACCCTAGCACTCAGTAAAAGAATAAATACTACAATACGCTCAGTGGCTGAACTGATTCTAGGCGGTATGCTAGTTTTTTTAATAGGATTTAATGACATTGCTTTATTGATAATATCCTAGAAATGCAGCCGAATGCTGCGTTTAAAATGCGTTTCTCTATAAAAAATTTGTCGCAACATGATTAGAGGTGGAGCTTTTAACAATCTTGTGTAATTTCTATTTTTAATTGACTAACCTTCATAATAAACTCACTGGTAATAATTAATATATTATGATTTGTGCAAAAAATGTCCTCATTAAGATTGTTACCAGACATTTATATCTAATAAACTAGAACGTGCTGACTTTTCACAAGATTTTGAAGCACTCGATTCCGAGCTACTCAACAAACCTACACAGAAAAGAAGCAGTTTGCTCGACCGGTACTGTGGTTAGATCAGACTGCCGTGAGTTTTTAATTCCAATACACGTTATTTCCGTTTTGCTTTCTTGAGTGAGGTTTCCATAGGCCGAGTTTGGGATTGCAAATAAACTTGTTAATAACGGACTGTATACGTATAAATCTATAAATGTAAGCTCAAGTATAGCATATACGTGTAAAAGAAATCAGCTCTAAATTTGTGTTTCAGCGCCGCCTCATTCGAAAATGTACTCAGACCTGTTGAAACCATTTGTGAGTGCTAGTTCACATCTGTGTAGGCAAAAGCTATCGTTAGATTCAGTCGATGACTACATTAACCCTTTAGCATACTTAAACCTCCTTTGTATAAAAGCTTTATAATACTACCATAATATTCGCATTCTTCTTATCTTACCATTGTGGCTCATACAGCATCTGTAATTAGATGACTAACCGCCGCTGCGTCTAGTGCACAGTAAGCGATAGAAGGACATAATTAGATATCACTAACCAGCCTCCGTATGTTTTTTGTCTTTTTGACGATTTTCAGTCTTCACTCTCCACGCAATTCTTCCTACAGCTATTCTTCTCCAACTGCACTTAGATACTATTAGCTTCTGTTTCCTTTAGCAATTGAACATTTCTACCCGCTGTCACTACTATTTTGCACGACACCTGCCTCTGTCTGATCGCCTGTCTACTTTCGAAATCGACCAGTGCTTCACGTACTACACACACACACACACACACATATATACATATATGAACAAGAGAAAGAAACGGGAGGAAAAATGAACAATGCAAAGGCGTGGAAGCCTATGGATGTGGATGATTATGGCTTGTTTCGAAACAGTTAGCTTAACATTTAAGAAAGCTTAACATCACCTTTAAGGTGCTGTTAACAAACAGCTTGAGAGTGACTGGTCATATGATAGAACAGAAGTTATTTGTCCGCGACGAGCTTTCGTGGTAGCCTCGTAGTAATTGTTGGAATGTACGATGCATGTTTATAGCAACAGTTGGCCGGCAGCACTACGCAGAGAAGGCTGTAATAGTACTAGTATTCATTAGATTAAAATTTAAACTTCCTATCGTAAATGAGCTTGTGACTGAGACACGGCACGAGCAGAGGGTTATTTAGCAACAAACATTGTTTTCGGGCAGAGAGGAGGCATTTCAGAATTTGTTGGATTTGGGTGAAACAGAAGATCTATTATGCATCATCAATAGTCATTATACTTCCTTGAAAGGCACCTACGCACCAGTTCGGATATTATGTTCAGTGCTTGCCACTAATTCTGCTGAGAGCATAATTCTGTGTGCGGACGATCTGTCAGCGTTAATTTCTAAGCTCGGGTTATCTTAATTAGATTATAAAAGAGTACATTATTTGACATTTATTGCATTGAAAACATTTGAATCAGGTTGTTCGGTCGATGGACTACGGCTTATGATGGAGAATGTTTGTTAGGGCTGTTAGGGTACACTGCGATGGTGTTCAAAACGAAAAAGGAGGTGAATTAACTATAGAAATGCAAAGAAACGTTTCGTTCTAGTGTCGCAAGAACTAAAACGAGTTATAACAAAAAAAAAACGCAATTTTATTCATCGACATATAATTAAGGGAGGTGATGTCTGTTCTTTTATTTCTTTTTTTCATATTTTTAAGTTAAGTTTGCATTAAGATTGCAGTTTAGTCTCCTTTAGGTGCTGACTATAATTCGTGTGTGTTTTTTCCATAATTTTACAGATTGGCGAAGGTCGGGCGTACTATAACCTCGGCAACGTGTTCCATTCGAAAGCGAAACAGTTAGCGCGGGGAACGCGACTCGAACCGGGTGATTACCCGGTAGAGGTCCGCGTCTTACTGCATAAGGCTGTCGAGTGCTATGAGTCAGTACTACGAACCAAATTCGATTCAATACGCAAATGGGATTCTATATTGACAGTTTAATCTTAAACAGTTCTTAATATTCGAACTAAATGAACAAATGACAAACTATGTTTTTCAAATCGGACAACGGCTTGTATTTTGTTGTCATGGTGGGACGAATGCCGACCAACAAGATGATATCTGCTAAACATAGTATGTCTTCTAGGAATATAGTTTTCTCAGTAACTAAAAAAGTAATAAAAATTAACTAATATCTTTTTTGTGGTTGCAGAAAAAATCTCGATCTTATGGTCAAACTCTCCGATCGTGTAGCGCAGGTAAGTTCCTTAACGATGGTGCTTGTAACAGCATTAATACGATATAATATGATACTTTATTGTGCCGCTAGCCAGTAAGGCGTAAATAAAGTGAGCAAAAAAGCAAAGCTGCAGGTATATAAATTAATTCATGTTAATCTTTAATTTAGTAATCAAAATCTTGATTATTTATGTATTTAATTAAACTTTATTACACCATTGAGCACTGGTATATTTAATTACAAAACCATCCTCATTAAGGAACATTAAACACAAGAATATCATTACCTTCAGTCACATGGCATTGAAGATTATTCTAAGGTGAAGTGATATGTCATCAAAAGATTAGGCCAAATATAGGTGGTCTTGCATGCGGCTTAGTCTCTCGATAACCTAAAAATGCGGTAACCCTTTCCCATTTATTTCTGCTACAGGGTCGCGCATATGGAAATCTCGGCAATACACATTATCTGCTGGGCAACTTCCGTAGAGCAATCACTTTTCACGAACAAAGGTTGGACAAGATTTATAATAGATTGAGTTCGTTCATTTTTTAGGGGTTTTTAATTACATGCATTAAATACATTCATTGCTCAATCTTCGCATGTTGTGTAGACGATTTTACCATAAAGCTTTTGGATCATTTTTAACCGTTTCCTGCCTTAGGTTCACTATGGCTAAGATAGGAAAAAGCTAACTTTTTTCATCTAAAAAAAGAAATTATTTAATTAAAAGAAGCTAATTAGTTTTTTTTTTCGTGATCGACGTAGTAAATGAGCAAAATTCATCTTAGGGTTCAAAATAAAAATTAAGAAAATATATATAAATGGAGATCGAAAAAAATATTTTACTCATTTATGCAAGAAGCGCTAAACCTGCTTATGTTACTGTTTCCTCGAGATATTTTATCAGTTATCGAAGGTATAAAAAAACTATTCAGAAGATATAAGTCAAAATCGATGAAAAACTGATTTAAAATATTAAAAATAAAACTGATAAAAATATCTCTTTTCCGGAACCTTTCATCTTTTGTAAATATATGCCTTTCTCATTCTGTAACATACTATTAAGACTCTGATTTTATATTTGCTCAATTGCAGACTTAAGTTTGCTACAGAGTTTCGTGACCGGGCCGCAGAAAGGCGAGCGTATTCGAATCTTGGCAACTGCCACGTATTCTTGGGTGAATTTGCCCGCGCAGCTGAATGCTACCGAAGGTTTATTTCCGCCCACATATGATCAAACTTTATTTTTCTTATAATTTAAGTTAACCAGCTAGCCAGATGGTTATACGCTCCTCTAGAAGGCTTAATAAGAAGCTATAGCGCAACAATAAGCTAATAGATAGTAAGCAATATCTAATTAAAAAAGCACGATATATATATATGAGCATTGTATGAGCAGAAATAATCAAGCTGTTATCAGGTGTATTGTGTGCTTTGCTAAAGCGGTTTATCTGTTTGTGCGTTTAGAACCAGGAAACTTGCTCAGCAACTGAATGACCGAGCGGTTGAAGCTCAGGCATGCTATTCTCTAGGTGAGTGTTTGATTTCTGGATACAGTTTCGGTTGAAGACTTGCTTCATATCTATTGATAAGCAGTGTATGTTGAATTTAATTGTAATCTGGTCTGCCTGCTTAAGGAAATATCTATACTCTTATTGGAGACCTCGAGAATGCGCTTGGTTTTCACTTGGAACATTTAGAAATTGCTAAAGAACTTCAAGATCGTGTCGGCGAAGGTCGAGCTTATCAATCGCTCGCACACTGTCATCAGGTAATGTGTATTCAAAAAAACAATTACATTCTTACAAAATTTCTGTTTGGCTGTTGGATTCACGTAGCTTTTAAACTGCTACTAAAATATTGACATGAAATTATCAGGAAAAAATAATTGTGCATTGATTATAATGCAATAAAATAACAGCACAGAAGCCAACATGTAAGTCACGATAACTTAAAAACTAGAGGGTTTAGTGGTGCCGTCAGAATTCTATGTGACTAGCCAAAACATGAAATATTACTCCGGAGACGCATTGTATTTCATCTTTCAGGGCCTGGGAAGCCTCGAAAAAGCGGCTGAGCTGGCTTCGCTTCATCTCCAATTGGCACAAGAGGTAAATTACAACAGCAACATAATATTCGTTAGAAAATGCTGCTTACTATTGTTGTAGCCACTTGTGCTGAAAATATGCTGAATAAATAATAACAGAAAAATGATGTACCGCTATCAAATAACTATCACAACAAACTCATAGGAATAATACTCGCTATTTAAATGTTATGATTTCTTACTTAGACGGGAGACACTGAAAGTGAGGTTGTAGCTCGGCAAACCCTAGAAGAATTGTCAGCCCAATTAGGAACGCCCATCAGACAACCCCCGCATAAGGTACAACAGATTGTAGCATCTTTATTTACTCATCATTCTTTTGATAGTACTATTTATCGAGCAAAATGCGCAGTGCAACAATATGTTTCAACTTGGTATAGCCGCTACCATAATTTCATTTCGCTTCAGGTTCGACGTCGAAGTATGGAAGATATGTCTCTGGTGAGCATGACTCCAGAAAGCCGACAGGCAACAGGAAGCGCGACTGATAACGAGAATGAAAAAGATGGATCGACTTCAACGAATGCTGAAGTAACTAAATAATTACGTTATAGTTCCGTTTGCCTGTGCAAAACAAATTTCTCATTTATGACCAGCATGCAGACCGTATTGCTCAAAGTGCCTAAAACATTTCTCTAATATTTCTAATAACGAATATTTTAAACATTCTGGGCACAGCGTTTAGAATCTGTTGACAGCCGAAGACATGTTAAGACAAAGATTCATGTGGGTGTGCTACCAGCATTTAGTAAACCATTACGAAGAAATCGTTTTTAGAACAGAAGTCCGCATCTAATAAGGGATACATTGGGTTCATTTAAGGATGATAAGGCTGAAGCGATGGAGACATCATGTCAGGCCATAGATGGTGAAAAGAATTCTTTTTTGGATATGCTCACTGAATTGCAAGGAGATCGCATGGACGACCAGAGGTGTCAGGTCGTCACTCAAGGTACGCATAAGATAGTTCTTTACTCTCGTAAAACGCATGATTTTCTTCTAGGCATGTTAGCCTTGACTAGTGTTGGGCGTTTGAATAAAAAACAACACTCGAAGAACTATTCTTTAAGTGGATTGTATTTGACATTTGAAGAAGCGCATAGAAGTCGTAATACAACTGCCTGTTTTTTCACGCTATAATGCATCGGGTTCTGCGGCGCCAGCATCAAGCAGCAGTGCATCAGTGAAGAGGTTCAATTTACGTACACGCTCAGTATCAGTTGATACGCATCATAGAGACGTCCTCCACCATGTCAGTTCGACCCGCACAACGAATTCGACCGTGACAGCTTCCCAAACCACAGCAGGTAATAAAGTAACATAATTCTGGTTCGTACAATTTCAAGGTACCAATGGTCTTTGTCACAAATTGTTATCAGCAAGTATAAACTAGGATTTATCGATATTCAGTTTGTCAAAAAATGTACATAGCTGGTTGTTAGGAGACGTGCAATAAACAAACCTGGAAGATGCGCGGGAGCTAATTTGTGTAGCACACATTCCATCTTATTTAGGTGGATCTGGTGGGCAGAGAGTAACAGGCTCCAGGACAAGGGGATCCATTAGCGGAGTGTCTGGCGCTACCGGAGAGGTGGGTGCTTGCTTGTGGGTTATATGGAATCAGGTAGTATGCGCTGCTCAGCGTTACCACTAGTTTACAATGGTTGAACAAAAACGTATTATTAAATAAAGTTGTTTGTTTTTGCGGATAGGTCCGTGAGGAACTGTTAGACCTCATCGAAGGTCTACAGTCGCGACGGATGAACGAACAGCGCACAAGTCTTCCACAACTTCCAGGTCTAATAGGTTCTGGAGGTGCTGCTGAGGTATCAAATAGTGGCCGTGGGACGGGCCTTGGGAGACGAGCTGTAGGCGATAATGGTCATTTACAGAGCAACATTAACAACAATAATTCTCAGGTGAATAGCGGCCTTATCTAAGTTGGTCTAAAATCCCGTCTTCTTTTAAAAAGAATAAGTACAATGTTTTCTTCATTAGTTATTCGGCATTTTTATGCGTATTCAAACTAGATTGAAGTTCATTGGAGAAAATTATTTGGTGAAAGAGACAATCGAAAAATGCAGAGAAAGCTCACCTTGTCGAACTCAAGCCTTTAATCTTTTTAGTACTTTTTCACGCATCTAGTAACCATGTGTTTACAGGTTGTACCGAATCGTATGCAGCTTTCTGGCGAGGACTTTTTTGAGATGCTAGCGCGATGTCAGGTAAATTAATCTCTCTAATGCTATCAGTGCTGTATTGGTCTAGACATTATACGTTACGTATATTAACATGTCGTCATAATTATCAATATTATTATTGAGTCGTAGTACTAACTGTTCAATCTCCTGTTTGATCGCGATTACCTATTCTTGCTTCGATTCGGTAAATTGGGGTCACTGTGTAGAGCTCGCGTCTGGAGGAGCAGCGCAGTCGAATGCCTCAACAGGCTGACACGCTGTCGCTCGGGTCAGCGGACTCAGGCGCCCATCTCGCGCCCAGCAATGCTGGACAACAGCAGAACGCTGGCAATGCAGCAGGTAAAACGTGCAAACCCTCCTGTCCTATAATGCCGTTACGATTAGCAGCTGCTAAATTCAAACGTCAAATTCGTAGTCAAAATTACCTCCTTTATTTATTATAGCACCTGTACTTAAATTAGTTCTACGACTTTTCAAGTCTGTTTTTCGCATGTATTTATGTAACTTAAGCCAAATTTTAATATAGATGATTCAACAATTCTTGCAACTAGGCACTTCATCAGGCACGACACATAGGACGTCCGCGCCTACCGTACCGGATGAAGATTTTTTTAGCCTTATATTGAAGGTACAGGGAGACCGTATTGAAGATCAAAGAACGGCTTTCAAGCCTATTCAAGTAAGTAGTGTGTAAGCCCAAGTGCTCAGTGGTGGCCACCGGTGGTTTTGTAATATATTTCTTCTTTTTCAATTATTCCTATAACTCGCAATTATTCTAATCTTCTGAGCGGAAACTACTTCTAGAACATACACACCGTGATACATATGATTTTGCTTTTAAATAAAAACTAAGTGCATCTAAGAAGCATTTATATTCATGTTTTTGCTGACCGCACTAACAGGAGAACCTAGAGGCACATGGGGCTTCCGACAGTGGCAGAGCTAGTAGTGGCAAGGGTTCAGGATCGGGATCTGGTGGCACCGGTTCGCAGAGATCCTCGACGAGGAGCAACCGCGAAAATGCAGGTGGACTGCGAGGGAGCCTCAAGCAAGCCCTTAAAGGTAGAACATCGAACAGTAACAGCATTGAACACGCTAGCTCGACTGAGGGCGCTGGCAATGCCGAAACGCAAGATCACAGACGACGCGGAGCCGAACGCTCCGTTAAAAATACCAATCGTATCACAACAACAACTACTCGCACTATAACACCTGTAACAAAATCTAATAACAACATCGGTACCGCAAAAAGCAAAGAGCAGAGATTTAATAATGACTGCGCCGACGTTAACAATGTACAGCAGACTAGTTCAGCCGGTAACAGTCGAAACAATGAAATAGCAGCAATTCATGGAGGCGGAGGCAAGGGGAAGGACGCTTCACAGAATGGTCCAGACGGGGGCAATCGTACAAGAGACGTTCGGGTACACCCTGAACAGTAGTAGTATAAATAGTTATAACTACAGAAACTATACATAGAAACATAGCTACAGTAGTAATAATAATAATATTCATATTGGTAATTGCATTCAAGAAGAAAATAAATAGAAATAGGTAATGATACCATTACTAATAATAACTCTAACAAGTAGATACAATATAGACAAATAGCGGCAGCAACAACTATATTACACGCTTTATGGATATAAAATACAAATATTAATGCGTTGTATAGATAGAGTAATGAAAAATGTAAATAACAATTCGAAGAGATTCGAGGTAACCTCCATGTGATTTCCGTCGTTCAGATGATTATCTTTGCTTGAACATGGCGTCAAGAGAAAGAAACTCGAGACCAGGCTAGTTGGTACAATCATCTGGCGAACGAATTACGCAGTCGCGACGCGATTTGTCTTAGACATTTCGTTATGACGTAAACTTTGACTAATTATTATTGGAGTAATACCAGCAACAAGGGGTGACTAAAGACGCACGAACTGCACCAGAAACGTGGCTATACTTTGATAGGTTAAAGCGTGCAATAGTGGCGGAACAGGTTTACCAATAGTTCTGTTGGATCAACGTCGACGTAGTAGTGACACAAATAATGTAAAGTGATCGTGAAACGGGGTGCAGAGTTGTTGAGCTTTCTATGGCGTTATCTTAGATCATTGAAGTATTACGAAATCGTTGGCATACATGTAAAGGCAGCAATAGTCCTAGCCTTTTGTTCACGATCACAGTAGCTCTCTCTGAGCTCTCCCGGGCGCGATGTATTGCAGCTACTGTTTATGAAGGCCCATCGATTTCTATAGGCTGGCTACTTTTTTTTTGTTGGTGGAACAACTTTCGTGGTTCCGAGGTCTACCGTAGTCGTTTGCCAAAACTGCTTACCTCATAGATGAACTATAGCCAGAGGCATGTTAATAGTCATCATTATTATCGCTGTGGATTATGATTATTAGTATTGCTATCTACCGTTCTTGTTATTAAATAATTGTCGGTATTAGTTAATGGTTGCCGTGACAGCAAACTCTAAGTTTGTCTAGGACTCTAGAAACATATAAGTGCAGTATGCACGACTTAGAACGAGGAAATTATAGCAGAGACTACCTATAGTATGTTCTCTTTATTCAAAGAGGACATAATCTCCTACTGTCTAAAGGCAATTTTAACATTATCAACGACTACTTAGGAACGGCATCTGTTATGCCGACAGTATTACATGTGCTATATATATATATATATATATATATATATAAATTGAATTCGTACGTGCGCTTAGCCTCGTTATAGTGTCTCGTAACTAAGTAGAACAAATCAAACAAAAAACCACTGATAAGAGTAACGATTTCAGCACATAAATTGCTGATGAGATCGTGACTTAAGATGATGGCATGACATTAGTTCCGCTCACTTGATTCTATGAGGTTTGCAATTAAACCTTTTTCTAGAGCGTTTGATACGCGGTCATGTCACGACAACAGCGATTGAGCAATTTTGTTTTAACTAGTATCATTATAGGCTTTAGATGAGAATGAACACAAAATGATGAAAGCGTGACTAAGTCAAGTAGTGATGTCACAGATAGTACGAACGTAGTATTGTCATATGCACATGTGCAATGAATCGAGAGGAAAATTGCCGCTCTTGCAATTGAAATTCTATGATTTATCTTGCCATTGTATAACGAATCAATGGGAACGATAGGCGAAGAAGGCAATGTTTATTGAATCATCACGCTTTATCCTATATTTTTTATATCCTCTGTTGGTCGAGGTTTGCATATAATATTTCGCAACTTTTTAGAAATGCAAGCCATTCTGATAATAGAAATATCTGCAATATGTGGATATTTAAACATTTGAAAATTAGAAGGCACATTAAGCCCTTTGTTATGCACGCAATATGGACAAGCTCTATTTTTTTTATGCAGCCGACCGTAATATCAATACTGGTACAGCGATTCCCTACTCGAGTGGATCGGCCCATTCGCCAATTTCGAGACCCAATTATTTTTTGTTTTATTTGAAAGATGCTATTGGTAGAGTCATTTATTACAGGAAGCGCTCCCCTTCACCCGAGCTAGTTGACGTTTTGGTAGCTCATTTGCCTGCTTGTTATTTCGTTAGTGGTCAATTCTTTATTCTCTTTTGTGCCCCTGTTATGTTGCATTGTCTTTCATAGCTAGCCTTTTTGTCATGTTTGCGATGTTTTTGCAGCTGTAGCTCGTAATGCCCGCCCATCTGTCAAGCTTAACTCTTCGGCTCGTAAACCACTGCATTCTTTCCACCATCAACTCCAGCAGCAACAGTCAATGGGTTCATCAAAGCGTAAAGGGCTGGCTTCACTTTCTAATTCCCAAAGCTCTCTTAGTTCCCGTACATCGCGAAGCTCGCGTTTAACCTGTCAGTCTTCATCAATGACAACTATGACCACGTCGACATCCGCTTCATCCGCGACATCGGGCGTATCCCTAAGGTCGTCAAGTAATGCTGCGGCATCATCTTCCGGCGCAAACCTTGTTCCCCCAGCCAAAAACTAACGACCAGATTAATTCGTTCTATTCGCGTCTTATGTTAGCTTTCATCATGTAGTCGTTGAGCGCACAATCAGATATCATGAATGCATCACTTATTCGTTTGGCCATTGTCACATCGTTCGAATTCGGGCATGCGGATCATTATGCAGGTATTTTCGTTTAGTCAGAAACGCTAATCCGCAGACAAAATAATTATGCAAGCGATGTCTGAATTTTGAAGAAAAGTCAATCTTTTCTCATATGTGACAACTAGTCCTGCCTACGCTTTCCTATTTTGTCTTATACAGTGTTTTTCGATCTCTTCTATTTAACACAAAGTTACGTAAAGCCAATAGATTGCATATTGATTTCTGCATAGTCGATAACAATGTACTATATTTTCTCCTTTTTACCCTATTTTATTCTCTATTTTATTAATCTTTCTACTTGAGCAGGACTAAAACATTATTCCGAAATTATACAAATAACTTATAAATACGACATCGCGTTTGTTCACAAAAAGTCGAGAAGCTTTTTTCTTTGTGAATGGTTTATATTGTGTGGTTTCTTAGTTTGACTTTAACAAGAAAAAGAAAAATAGAAAAAAGCTTGTGTAAAAAGACGTTTTTGCCGTCGCATGCAACGCGCTTGCTTGCTTGCCTGATGTGGACTTGTACATGTTTTCGTCATTTATCTTTTGATATCCTCTATCTTCCTAGTATTACATTTTCCGTCTATAAATAAAAAATATAGCATGATTGAAAAGTTAAGCTATTGCCATACGCATATAAGCTGATGTCGCTAGTTCACGCGCTAAAAACAATAAACGTATACACAATGTTGTAGAGTGCACAGGAAAGAAACACATTGTTGCTCCCTTGATTATGAATTATTTACAATTGTTCTTACTAACCAATAATGTTAATTTGTGTATGAACACAGGTTAAATACGTATGTGTATATTCATATATTTCAAGTTCGACCTATCTAGATTTAGAGCGCGCGAGAGAACCAGGGGTAATGTGTGTGAGAGAGAGGGGAGGGAGAGCGCGAGAGAGAAAAAAAGCAACAAATGCGTCAACGGCAAACTAATAGCAGGACTCGTAGCTCTTTCGGATGTAGAGAAAACGTAGGGCTGTGAAAGCGCGTGTAAAGCGAAAGCGGCAGGAGTGTGCTGTTTGGTAGGAGTGAGTAATATATCATGATAACAGAAAAATGACTGAGGGTCACAAAGGCATGGTACATACAGCTGTCCGCATCAGCAGAACAACAACAACAAGCAGTCACTTCAAGGCAAAACAAAAAACCGATCGTAGACAAAACAGTTAGAAAAACGAGCACTTGTCCGATAAAAATGACGATGTCAAAGGTGAAGTAAAAGCCGTCAGCGCGCTTACCAGTTATGTTTATAACTAAAACAAATACAAGAATGGCATTGTTAAATTCAGAAAAAAAAGCCTATAATAAGAATAAAACATACCTACTGTTACAGCACGCGCCCTCCAATTTGATGCCACGGTACAAGGTATAAGACGAAATTGTGCCGATTGTATTCCGCCACCTTATTTGGATGTGTCGATAGATAAAAGAAGTGAGAGACATCAGAAAAAAACAAGTACATTACACACACATACACACACATATATATATAAGAAAATAAATATTGACTAATAACAGATCACAATAGATCGCTGACGAAGCAGGTAACTATTTGAGATGCGTTGCAGTTTACCTGCTTGCGGTTGTAGAAAAAAACAATGCAGAACAACGTTACGATGATTATATTGATAACGAGATAATAATAGTAATAATAAGATTAACGGCGATAATAACATCGTTACTAATTAGCCAAGCGTGTCTTCCCTTTTTAGAAGTAGAGAAAAGCGGGGTTATAGTAAAATTAAATACTTCAGCGGTTTAGATGAAATCTTAGGCCAAACGATTTACGTTAAAATAAAATATTTTCAGTTGGAATTATTCTGTGCAATGCTGTTATCAACAATAAAAAGGTTTAGACATAAATTTGAGCTATTATTATACAATACTAGTACCATTAATAGAATAATTAGTTTATTGTTAGGGTGTTCAACTATCGAGCGATAGACACTATAAATATGGAATGATAATAGTGAAGTGACGATCATGACGAATCGATCAATGAATACTACGTGCGATGCAATAGGAGCAAAACAAAGCGGCTAAGTTATAGTGATAAATAAGCAAACATAGATAAGGAGGTTTCATTACCTGCTAGTGTATGTCACCGTATTTGTCATGTCTGTGGAATAACATTGATAACTCAGGAATAACACTGATATAAATATATATGTCGATATAAGTACATGTGTCAATCTGTTAGCGGAATACCTTAGCTCGATTGTATTATTATAAATAATTATAATGTTTTTATAATTATTATGAAACTGTACAAGGTAAGTTACATAAAGGTAAAAAGCGGTTGAATGTCTTTAAGCTATGCATGGTAGAGCGCTAACCAAATAGTAGTCATTTTTGGTCATTCAGCAAATAATATATTAAAAGGACACTGAAAATAGATGAAGGTTTTGCGTTCACGTTCATTGGTCTAGTATGTAAACCCGTAGACACTGCAGCGTCCCAGGAATGCTAGAAAGACATTTGGTGACTTGTGACCTAATTTTTGATTAATAATGAAACCATTTCCATTAGTGTGGTTTTTTGTAGCTACCCCTAACACCATTTCTGGCAATGGTACCGGTCCATCTACAGTGTGATTTGGACGACCAGACCATGCAGGTCGCCGCCAAGTCCAGCCAACGCTTCATAAATACTGCGCGGTTTGGGTAAATAAAGAAGACTATCTAGCTAGATCTGCCTGACTCTATTGAACTGTCGATCTAGGATAGACAAACTTCATACGCACATAATAATGAACAGCATCGAAAACATTGTGCAGATTAGTATCATTGTGCCAATTATTACATTATAAGTCTTCGCAGGATCAGTGTGGAAATGTATTTCATCAGATATGTAGGCTCGCGAAATCCTCGAACATCTGTTTAGAGTAAACATTTGTCTTAACAATAGCAAAAAAAAGCTATAAAATGCTTAAGTTTATCGTCAAGGTTTACAATGTGACTTTAATAACGCCTATCGACACATCTAAACTCCTAATTTGAGGACCTTTTACTAAGTAAAACTAATATTGCTTGTACTTTGAAAATTTAGAACACATCATCAAACACAACGAATATATTTCGCGTTAAATAATGTTTTTATATTTACCGTGCAATACGATACATACCTGCATGCCATTTGCAAATTCTAGAACTTTTTGGGGATTTTTATCTGTTATTTTTCCCATGCTTTTGTAAACAAAGACTGATAATCCAGATAATATTATAGCTGACGAATAATAATGTTTTACAGCAATTTTGCCTGACTCCAGCTGATCATTTCATATATATATATATTTGGTAGTTAATCTATCTAACACTTGACAAAATGTTTTTAGACAAGCTGATCATATACGAAAATATATAACTAAATACTTGATTAGTTTCGTATTATATTTATATTACATGCGTTCAAAGCGTTTTTCTACTAGAAGTTTGATTCCCACCATAAAATGCAGTACTACCATGCGCATGCACGCATACAAATCGTATTTTGAAAATTTGCCTCGTTGCGATACAACAAACGAAAAAAAAAGCTAATCGAGAAGTCAAAATCTTGTTGTGCGCATTCCCATCTGTCCGTGGCGAATTCCAATTGGACAGTAGGGCCTTTTTTCGTCAGTAGTACCCTTCACGATAAGCAACTTGCATTTGTGATTTGTCGTAGTTTGCTTCTAACACAAAAAAAATGGCTAACACAACAAGCGTCCTTGTCTCGACCTCGTGCGTTGCCTTATGGTTGCTATCAGTGTAGAACAGAAAGTTAGTAACGGCCATTTACCTCGCTGGGGGCTGCAGCAGCTGACCAACTGATCTGAAACTGATGACCATAGATAACCTACTTCCCGTTTGTACTATAGCGGTTATTACTACGGTAACTATTATAATTATTTACTGGTATGCTGACTATTTTATAATATAGTTCTGCTTCGACTTCGACGTAGGTCTATGCAGTAAATTAAGCGGACGGCTAAATGGTGGCTTGTACACAGTCCGAACGCGTTTCTACAAACGCACATGGTCGAGCAGTCAGTCACCTAACCACTTGTCTGAATTCAGCAGCAGACCAGATTGAGCAGGGTCGATGTTGGTTCGAACAAAAAAAAAATGTTATGCCGTCTCTTTCTTCGAAATAAGCTGCAGACAAAATGTATAGAATCGCCGACATCATTATCAGTTACCGCGAGACGAGAGACCCAATAGAAAGCTTCTACAAAATAAGCGTTCGAATAATAACCACTAAATATGAAATGGTAGATTAGCTTGACATTTAGCAGTCAAAAAACAGAATAATTGGATAGCCTAAAATTGTTGCGTCCTTAAATAAACATATATTTAAGCATACAGTGCGAGTATAGCGGGCAAGGAAAATTAGCGGAAAAATTGATACAAAATCTTGTTTAAACTATATTGCTGAAGAGAATCGCGTCGAAACTATTAAGTTGTAAAGTAATAACCGGGCCTACTCCTGAAATTAACAGTGTTAGTGGCATGTCCTTTTTTGTAGCATTTCACAAGTAGTTTAATCCTCTCAATTGCCGGGTGGAACCCGGGCTTTCAACCCTAAGGGAGACGGGGGTATGTTTTAGCAACATTATAATACCAGATAGAACCAGTGCTGTCGCCGGTATCTGATCTACTTATCCCAGGTAAACGTTTAGTTAGGGCATGCCCTGCAATCACTGCCATAAAAACCTATGCGCCTGTTATAACATAGAAGTAAAGCTATAAATAGCTCGCACATTTAGCATTTATCTTCATATGAGTTCGATGAACGCTTAGAATGATGGTTACTTTCATGACTTTTTACACAAAATGTTCTGGGCGGTCGTGCTTACTTAGTCATTGAATTGACGTTGCTGTTTTGCGTTTTCCAGACGAGATCTCGCGGCTTAGTTGTACTGGCAGCTTATTTGCTAAAATGAACGGATAGTTAGGTGTGAGTCTGCTTTCGCATAAATAGCGAATGCTTGGCAAATACATTTTAATGGTGGTATGTATTTTTCAAAATCTCGTTTTAAATCGTCATGTGTGACGGTGCTATGTGCAGAAGGCATGTAGATGAAATCGCATGCACCGACGTGTTAACTGGAGGAATAAGAAAAAGTGGGATTTAGCTTAAGCCCAGAATGATTTGTCAAAGCTATTATGCAACGTAGCGAACGTTCGAGCGTCTTATCTCTTATGCCTATATCTTTGAAAAGTTTTGAAAACTTTGAGAAGTTTTGAAAGATGAGGTTGCTGTTTTGAGAATGTAAAGTAACATCTATTTTTGACATGTATGTTAAACATAATATGCTTATGTGCACTTACGTAGCGGTTACTTTTCGCCATATTTGACATTACCTGTAAACGCGTAGTAGGTGTCAGATGGGGGTGCAACGGGCCAAATCAATAGAGTCCTTAACTTCTGTATCTAGACTTTTGTTATAATTGTTGATCCAGTAACACGTAGCCGCAGACATGCTGAGACGCTTCTGTCCTTGCAGGTAATGAAATGTTATGTGATAAAATCGAATAGCAAAAGATCGGCCACATTAGCCCATAAAGACACTTGGTAGGGCTTCGGCACTGGGTAAGGCTTAAAGTCATGCGCGATTTGAAAATTTCAATAATAAGCACCCTCACAAGAATAAGGTAAAATTTTAGAACATGGACTATATGCAGGACAGGTACTACTTTATAGACAGAGGGCGTTTAGAGAACCAGGGCAGGGTATGGACGCGGCACGGCTTTTGTGATTATCTCTGTGATGTCTTTTACATGGGCTTGAGAACTTTCCTAGATAACTCCTAAGGCCGCCGTCAAAACCCGTGTAGTAACCCCAATTAACCCCATAATTTCTTCTAAGGTTACCGGAACCTACTCCAAGGCGTAAGCCCCCCGTATCGTTGAAGACCGCTTTCTTCATAACTTTTCGTATCACCGGCGTTTTCAAGTAAGATAGCGTAAAGCGCTCCGCTTAGGGTAGCAAACGATCGCATAACTGCCCAATAAGAGAAGACCAAGTTCTCTTTGCATCTTCATGGACTGCAGCTGAATGTGAAACTTGTTTTAGCACAGGTGACCCTTTTATGGTACTTCTTAACGTATCTTTGGTGTTATCACGCATGAACGCAGATAGCATCACTATGCTATTAACTTCATTGTATAAAACTATGCGAGGGATACAGCAGGCAAAATTCATGCATGTCATTTCTTTTAATCTGCTTTGGCTGATATTTATTAGGTGACGCATCAAACAAAAACAGTACTATGTATAATAAAAATGGGATCATTTCGGAAAATATTTCAATGTTATTTAAGAGCTATGTAAGTCTATATGAAAATGTTACTTTGTAACCCAAAAGTAGAAATGAAAAATTTCGAGTGAATCATATAGCACATGGACGTTTTTTATGATATTATTATTAAATATGACATATTAAAGCATGTAATAGACAGGTTTTACTCTTAAATGTCGATACGTGTTCGTGCTTCACGAGCCAGACGGTCGCCCCTTCACTTAATCTTACTTGATATATCCTTTTTGAAGCTTTAGTTTTATTTCGGCTTTAGTAGCAGCATTTTAGGTAGAGAACAAGCTTTAGGTTTCACATATTTTGACCCCAGAGGTGGAAATATGATTGAACAGAGTATCTAAGAGCGCAATTTTGATTTGCCTTTATCTGGCCAATATTATCTCCTTTATGGATATAAGCATTTTGCAAAACACCAATTTTTTCCAATACGCATGATTACCTGGTGTGCAATTTTTATCCACATAAATATGCACACCAGGTAAAAAAATCCACATAAATATGCAAACGAGAAGCAAATGTTTGTCTTTACATGTATTAAGTTACATATGCAATATGTTTAACTAAATAATACCTAATAATAGCACCTAAATTAGGACGAACATTGGTGGGCAGTTGGTCATAATAAGCATGCGTTCGTTTACCATTCTCGGTACCATGAAAATGCTTGTTCTGTTTAGAACAACACAATAAACTGTCATACTGGAAAACATGCGACGCTTATTTTAACAGCACTTAACTATTATCCAACTCCTTCGAGCTGGACGACCTTTTAGCCATTTCTTAGCCAATTTTCATGTGGCTTTTGAGAAATCCGAGTAGAATTTTTATGAATTAAGCGAGAAGATCCTTGACAAGTATTAGAGGGTTCAAAAGCTCATCAAAATGTGGTTTACGACACTAATATTTTTGGTGGAGAAATTTACGGCAGTTTTATAGAGAACAATATCTAATATCAATCGAGTTGTTGAGATAAGCTCTAACGGTTAGTATTTTTAAGATTTTTTGCGCCTTTTTGAACCTTCTGGAAATGTTGGCCATTTTAAGCATTTGCGTTTGACCTATTGTCAGCATAGGACTTTTATATCGTGTGTTTGAGCGACAACTTTTCAATATGATTTGGCCTTCAGTTGCTGTTAAAAAATTCTTTGCGGATTAAAAAGGAATATTTTGAAAATGACTAGTGAGTGGTTTAGAGTGGTTCAGAGTTGAAGCTGTAATTGCGATGAACGTTTGTTGCACTGAACAACCATAACCGTTAGGAATATAGCACTTCAGCACGTTTAAGTGTATCTGTTCTTACTAAGATACACCTTTAGAAAGAAAAAAATATCAGATGCTATGTACCTAGAAGTCCCAATTTAGGTGGCGCCCCCTGTATATCTTCCGATCGGTAGGACGTGGCACAATAATAACTTTCAAATGGTGCTTGAAGATGTTCGGCTGCCAACACCGCGACGAGATTTTGGAACAAATGGCTTTTCTTTCTTCTAAGAAAATGAACGATTTGATCATGTATTCCGCCGCTTTCAGTAGATTGCGAAAAAAATATAAGAAAATATTGAGTATTTCTAACAATGCTTAGCAACGCTGGAAGGCGCAAATTCTGAAGATTTCATAAATGTAACCAGCAAGAACGCATATATTGAATGCTTAATTAAATACGTATGAAGTCAACGAAGATGTTACGTGTAATACCATTATGGTAAAAGCACATAACTGATTTGTACTGAAAATAGGGATATGTCAGTCTCTTGTGTCTGACAACACTTTTAGAAGTTACTTACTAACAAGACGGAAGATATCCTTTAGATAAAGAGCCGCATGTGTTATTTTGCAGTGAAGGAAAGTAGAATTAAATATTCCCCGCCGAGCCAAGTTAGCAAGCGTCGGAGCTGGGTTTCTTTAAAAGCCTGTATGTGTGACCGAGGTCTTGACAGGGCGACCTGGGGCTTTGTTCGGAAGACTTCGCACTATAGGTCTACCATGTAACTATGATTACTATCATAAGGCACTAAACGCAATTTTTAACAGTGACTAATGTAGGTCTAATAAAAACTTGCGCCAAAATAAATCGATACTTGAATTTTCCCTCTCTAGTTTTTTATTCGTGTTGATAAAACGACAATCCATTTTTGGTCGCCTAGTATAGCTACATTCAGATAAGTCAAAATAACATAGCAATGGAGCAACGTAATTGTAAATATGGACCAGATGCATTCTATATAAATCAGAAAATACATTTTTATTATTTAGTATATTGTTTTTAATTGTTGGGCTACTTACTCTTCGATTTCTTAAATTGGTCATGGATGAATAATTTCAAAGGTACATCTGGGCGACCCATATAGCTAAATAGAGGAAGCAATTTTAAAATGCAGATATACTTAACTGAAATAACTGAGAAGCACTATATTACCTCTATCCACCAGTGCACAATAAACGTTCACATTATAAAATACGACGAAATCTCTTTAAAAGTCTATATTTAATTTTAGCCAACTGCAGCTCATCAGTGTTGCGTGTATTGATTGGTACGTGCATTGACGCTGCAGAGTTCAATTGTTCGTTGTCAGTGTAAACTATTTACATAACACGATGAATTGTCAATCCAAGAGCATTGTCAGATATGTAAAGTAGCCATGTTAGCAAGCAAAGGCGCAGTTTTAGGTAAAACGTTTTGTTAAGACTCAATGCATCATGTGAAATAGGTCAACTTAATGTGTAGATCATTCCTATAACTGTTTTGACGATTGTAATATTATTTATGCTCTAACGCTCCTTAATAGAAAATGCCACCATAGAAAGGACGTGTCCAGAGGAATCTAAGCAAAATTAAAAATATGAAAGATTGTTGTAGGGCAAAACTCGAGAATTATTATTCGCGCAGTCGATAATAATGCCCGTGATGTAAATGATGTTTGATGAAGACCGATTTTCAATACCGTTTTCTGCGTGAGAAAGAACGTAATGAAGTTACTGTAGACTTTAACGTATGTATACTGGTTAGCTTCATGATGACCAATTTTCGGGCAGGTCGAACTTAGACAAAGAAGGTTGCTCCGGGCTTTTATTACGGCTAGGAAATATTAAGCGTTGCATGGCTGCACTGACTTATGAGGAGTGCGTTCTTTCACGACTAGACCTAATCTTGTTTTGAGAACGAAGAAGCTTCCATTCGTACTTCAGAATGTAGAAAGCTCCTGATTAAGTTTTACGCAACTCAAATGTTGGCTATAGTCCTGTCTCAAAACGTTACATACAACTGCTATTAAGAAAAGATTTAGATAGTTAACCATTTTTTTCCTATCAGTACAAGAAGAAAGAGATTCGAAGGTATGACACCCTTGGAACTGCAAACTCTACTGATGCTGCAATGTAGGGGCCAATCATCAACAGATGAAACGTTGTAACCTAATAATATTAACTTGATCAATACCATTAACTATACAACGTTTCCTTTATTAACAAAGTACGTTCACCCTGTATGCCTATGCCAAACTGTGGTGTCGAATCAAGAACAAGCGTTTCTAAACAGAAAGTGCTTTTTTTTTATTTACAAACTTGTACACATGTAGCTTTGGATTATTTTGGCTTGGTTATTCATTAACGAATTCAGGTCCCAACATAAACAACTTCTCATTGCGATTTGTAGGAAGCGCAGATAATTGTACATCAATATGTAGATCTACTTCGGATAGACTTTCGTTTTTGATGGCACTCGTTTTTTCTTATTTGGTCTTGCTTCACTCTTCAGCATCTCAATCTAATATCCGTAGCCTCCATACCCACCGGCGAGGCCCCCTTCGTAGCCCCCTCCAAGATCTCCATGGTGCGATTTCACGTAGACAGGTTGCGGTACAACAACAGGTTTTTTGACATGCACCTCCTTGTACACAGGCACCTTCACAGGGACCTCAACGGGCTGAGGCACGGGGATCTCTTTGTGGACGGGCACAGGTACATGAACAGGGACCTTTACAGGCACCGGAACAGGCTTGTGAACTGGAATAGGAACATGTTTATAAACGGGATATGGACTGTCTTTGTAAACGGGCACGGGAACCGGTACAGGCACTGGCTTGGGTACAGGATAAGGCTTAGGCACTGGGTAAGGCTTGGGAACATGCACAATCTGGGGGATCTTCTTAATCACGGGCACCTTCACTGGAACAGGATATGGCTTAGGCACGTGTACAGCGTGAGGTACAGGCACTACCTTATGAACAGGATAAGGTTTCGGCACGGGAACTGGGTAGGGCTGAGGCACAGCCTTGGTGATCACTTTAGTGATGTCTTTTACATAGCCGTGGCCTCCTCCGTAACCTCCAAGGTCTCCTCCATAGCTAAGGCCTCCGCCATAACCGAGGCCTCCTCCGAGGCCCAAGCCGCCTCCGTAGCCTCCAACATGACCTCCAGCGTATCCTCCGAGGTCGCCGGCGCTCACCAGAGCGAGAAAGCTTGCTATCACCACGACAAAAACACGCATCATGCAGAATGTAAATATTGTTTCTATTTCGCCTTCTAGCCCACTACTCAACTAACGACACGACAATGTCTGTTGTGTATGACACGGTCATTTATATCCAACCCGTGCCAAAAAGCTCAAACGACCAGAAGAATTTTTCGTCTGTCTCCAGCACACCGTCAGGCTGACCTTCTTTTTACCCCCCGAACTAACGCACCCCATCGCAAGTAAATCCTCCCTCCTTAACGTTCATCGAATTGACACGATTAAGCATCCGAAGAAGAAAATACCGCCAAAAATTCGCTAATCGTATTTCAGTCTTAGTCTGTAACATGGCAATGGCCACAAGGGACCGTCGGCCAGTTGTCCGCAATTCAACCAACAGCTTCTATTATCTCATCTACGTGTGGTGTTGTGTGTAGCTTGCCCCTAAACTTGACATCGGCTATTACAAGCCGAACGAATGGCTGACGGGGCTACGAAAGCAGTTAGCCCCTCATCACACTGCTGGCGCGCAGACTGTCGTCTAGTATAATATAGATCCGAACAGAAGCAAGTTGGTAACTGAACGAAAGTTTTGATAACAAATGAATAATAACAGCGGCTACCACAGTCGCCGCCACAATAATAGACAGGAGCTGTTTTTTTTTTTCCATAATAACTACCAATAGTACTCTCAGATAAGCGTGATAATATGTTACACGCCTTGACAGAATACACCGCTCATGAAAGGGTTTACCTCAGACTGGGGGTTTGTGTGTGTGACTGGATTTTATAGTGAATATTTGTGGCTGAGTAACGTATACCAACTGTATATTGCTCTTGAAAATTAGATGGTAAAATTGGTTTGCTTATCTGACGTGGACATACCACTTATTAGCTCGTATGTCGTCTTTTAACTATTCCAAATGGGAAGGCCATATAAGGCTGCTATTTAAAATTGTATACGTCCTAATTTAGTTGTTACGTTAGCCGCGCTGCTCGATTATTTTAAATGTGACATAAATGTGGGCGATAATTAGTTGGTCCGCGAAAACCAAATTTCAATAGGGTTCAGCGGTGTAACCGGTTAGTGACCTTTATTCAGTTATCGCTACTCTCGTTTCATTAACCCAGTGAAATGTTTGACGCTCCATGAGGTAATGGATCAGATATGCTGTGCTCAAAACCTGGGTAGATTGGCTCTTCTGCCAGATGGCAAGCGGTAAATTGTTAGCTATCGTTTATTAATTCCCACGGCCTGAATAGTTTAGAAATATGACGCCATAGGTTCACTGATCAAAGGCTTTCGTACGATGGGGAATACTCGATGCGACTACAGTTTCGCCTGTTCGAAAAACAACAAAGACTATATGTGATGGGAAGTTTACGGATAGATTGGGGGAGGCACTTTGCAGGTGGTAAATGTAAACACTGTACATAAGTAGATGGTAATTTTCAAAAGCATAAACTAAAGAATTCTATATATAACGCAGTAGTTTGCTAACTAACTCCGAGCATTGCCATGTCGAAATAGTTCGTTTCTACGATTATCTACGATTGAAGTCAATCTTAATTTCTCTTCGACAACGTTACGCGTTTCCCTCAAAGAATAATAATAACTTGGTGTTATTAAGCAAATGTTTGCATTGATGTTCCTGTGTGCTTTAGATATGCATATGACTATTGGCCCTAGGAACAGGTTGAGAATATCGCGCTGATTTCTATTTTTCTGCTTGCCTACAGGGCGTTACGAGCTTCTATCTCGGTTATGTTATCATGGTCGTTTTTCTGCTAATAATTCCGAGAGCATATTTTGATCTATTCCGAAGAGTAGTCTTAGCGAAACAAGCTAGTTCCACTATACGTGACGTAAGTGTTCCGGAACTCCAAAAGGTCAGACCGTTTTGAGTTCGCACAAATAATGTCTGTACTTTGCAACGGATAACGCGAACAGAACATAATTTAATTCATTGCTACGTTTGGCTCGAGAGTCATACTAAAGGGTGACATGGCTCAAACTTGCAGTCATTTTTTAGTCTTATAAACCGAAAATGCTCACCCAGTACCTATGTTATTATCATACGTGTATTAGTTCATCATACTTTCAAATTATCCATGCACTTCCATACTCGCTCATCGTCTGCAACAGGTCGACAAGCTATCGCTACTTTATACCACTATCGGTAAAACTGTATAGCCCTCGATCAGCAGCAGTGCAATGGAATTAATTTCTCAATTAGCTATCCTACATCCAACAGCTAATCCTAGTGTAGGCTAGAGTACCCCTACGGGGCATTCGCGTGGCGCATTTATCTCGACTCCTTAACGTTTATCTTTTTTCTGCAGTAACTCACCCGGGCGTCTCATGTCGTCCAAGAAAACAAAAGGTAAGAACGAGTAGCGTGCTTATTAATAATTTCCACATTGAACATAGCCGCTTGGCTTTCCAACGGTTTCAGCGAAGGTCTGGGGCTCTAGAGTATCCGATGCCCGTTGCGCGCCTACGCAGTCGGTGAACGACGAGTACATCATGTGGAGCAGCAAGCTACAGACATCACTGCACGACTGCCCCTCGTTTCCTCTGCCTCATTCGGGCTCCCTCTCCGCAGCCCAGCCTCAGTCGGTTGAAATAATGACTGGGCTGGTCTTTTAATAACTGTGTAGCGCCACCCGCAGAGTTACACTAGCGTGTACTTTACCATAGCGACTCGGCCTTTGCTCATCCATTTATAATTTAGTCCAATCTTTTCGACTAGCTAAGTTTTGCGGGCCTCTAACTTCTTGCATCTAAACGTATCGATATTTCGCATATCGTATATGTTAGGATAAGCTAGGTGACGAGAAGACTTGATCCCTAAAAGTTAGTGACATTATATTTGAATTGCTTTTCCTGTCCTTTTTTCAATAAATATAACTTAATTACCTAAAACGTCGTTATATCGACATTGGAAATAATTAATTGCAACTTTATTTAAAGCTAGAAAATTTCACACATTGCTATCGTTGTGGCCGATATGTCATGTCGTTTCATTGTCTAACTTCAACGTGATCACACCGAGAGAGACAAGTTGTACCTAGAATTTCCTAGTTTTTCTTTAAACTATATCAGATAGTAATTCATTGACGCCGAATATATCATATTTACGCTAAGTATCAGCATTACAGTTGACGTATGTGCTGCCCTAGTCACTCAGCACACCATCCTCACTAATTGTTAAGGTAGGCTGTTGAATTGTGTTACAAATATTGACCTTCGAAAAAAGGAAAAGAATACAAAATGCAGCACACACACGTTAGGCATTTCTAGCCGATAGTTTTTATAGTGTTCCAAGTAATCTTTCTGTGTAGACTTACATCAGCGTGTAGATGTAGATGGAACATCCGTTAATGGCTAACTAGACCTGTTTTCTGTTTGCGTTGGACCATAAGGATTTTACATCATTTAGATAGATTTTGCGGAGATTTATACGGGCTTCACTACCAGCCAATAACTCGGAGATTAACAGTTCCATCAAGTGTTCTTTCTCTATAAATTCTACAAGCTACCGTACCGTAGGCAAAAGCTAAAGGGGCTACAATAAGAAACATATCACGCTGTTTGACAAAAGTTCCTGATCAAAGCCAAGCAATACTTGTCGGAGTCTGCTAACCGCGCCTGCCGCTGCACTAAAAGCAGACCTATGCTATTGCCTGGTGTTAAATAAGTGCACCTAACGCGAAATCTACGGTAGAGAGTCGTAGCGAACGGTGTCGAGCAATCTCGCAGATCGCTGCTCCCTACTCAAAGGGAGCCGAGCTACTCGAAGAGGCCGAAGAATTGATAGGGCAACTGTGGGGTTGCGCGGGACAATCTAAAACCCGAGGTGGCCAAAAGGGCTAACGAGTCGAAAGGAGAGCGGCGGAATTGCTGAGCTGGCAGCTTCTGCGATGGGCGCTGCCGAAGCAGAAAGCAGAGTCCACGAATTGAAGCGACAGGCAAAGACAAAGAGATGTCTTAAAGTTTCTTAAATTTCTCGGCCATTTAATCTTTTTCACCGTAATCCCTCGACAACATGCCGACTGATCGGCGTCTATTAAAATCCATTATATGTCTGCTCAGAGCACGGCTAACCGTCAAAGATGGGGTCTGATTTGTTTCGAAATTCAGCTGGCGTGGTACTCGTTCATGTTCACATCGACGACAAAGTACAATAAACGAGTGATACTCCTGTTAAATAGTGTATCTTAATCATTTAAGGGAATCGTGTAGTCGCTTATAACTCATCTCTGTATAACCACTAAAGGCGGGGTATGAACGCAAACTGCATAAGAAATGTGTTAAGAAACATGTTAGGAAATGTAACATCACGGTTTCCGACAATTATTTTATGTGCTACGATGTCATATATTTTTGTCTTTGACTTCGCAGAACGAGTACGAGATATCACTATAAATAAAAACAAATCAAACTCGCAGAATATAAACAGAAGAATGAATGTTTATTTACAGTCTCAAGGAGTATTGCACGCGCCGTATTATATGGTCCTAAAAGGCTTCAGTCGCGTTTAACTATGCTCAGATAGACATGAAAGCTCTTGGGATATTTCGTACTTCTATAAAGGAGTCGTCCCTGCTTAAGTTTAGAACTATCTTTGAAGATTATATAGATAGCTACTGCAGTAATAATAATGTTTACCTACGCATTTCATATGATGTCATACTGACATCAACTTTACTGGGACACTGTCAGATATGCCTGTGGCTCTCATATGGTTATATACTTGTTCAAGATTTAGCATTCATCTTAGAAATGCCCACTTTCTACTAAGCGTTTAACCTTAGCTGAAAACTTCCGTCCTGTGGAGAAGTCTAGAAAGTTGGGCATGCTAACATTTAAGAATCCCTGCGGGGGATCTAAGACGACCCAACGAGCGTTGCATCATTTGACCGACCTCAAAGCTTTGCGTTAACAAGATACGAGATTAACGATCACTGCTATGTCTTATGACGGAAGTCGCTCGTCTGCATATAAGTATATTTGTGTCTTCTTCAGTTTATAGCTGTCTTCGTATTCTGATGTATCCTTGGACCACGGAAATTCCGGGGTAAA